GGATCTTGAGAAACTTAACAGAAGACCATAAGGGAAGGGAGGGGAAAAAATAGTTACAAACAGAGAGGGAGGAAAGCAAACCATAAGAGATCTTTAAATACAGAGAACAAACTGAGGGCTGACAGGGAGATAGGGATGAGGGGAAAATGGGTGATGGGCATTGAGGAGGGCACTTGTTGGGATGAGCACTGGGTGTTGTATGTAAGCGATGAACCACAGGAATCTACCCAAAAAGCCAAGAGCACACTTTACACACTGTATGTTAGCCAAAAAGAAAAATATTTTTTTAATAAAAAAGGAAGAAAATCCTGTCACATACTGTATAACATGGATGAACCTTGAGGACATTACACTAAGTAAAATAGGCAGTCCAGACAAATACTGCACAATTGATTTGATTTATATGAGGTACCTAGAGTAGTCAAATTTCCAGCGACAGAAAGTACAATGGGGGTCACCAAGGGCTGGGCCAGGTGGGGGAGAAAGAGATGTTGTTGTTTAATGACTACAGTTTCAGTTCTGCAAGATGAAAAAACTATGGAGACCTGTTTCATAAGCATGTTCATATGAACACTAATGTAGTGTTCACATTAACACTACAGAATAGTACACTGAAGAAGGGTTATGACTGTAAATTTTGTTATGTGGTCTTTACCACAATAAAAATAAAATGGTGCTCAGAAAAGACAAACGACACTTATGTTCACATTTAATTAGCCAAAGTAAGTTACATAGCTATGCCTAACTTTAAAAGTGGGAGGGAGTGAGGGGCACCTAGGTGGTTCAGTCGTTTGAGTTTCCCACTTTGGTTCAGGTCATAATCTCATGGTTCATGGGTTTGAGCGCCGCATCAGGCTCTGTGCTGACAGCTCAGAGCCTGGAGCCTGATTCAGACTCTGTCTCCCTCTCTGCCTCTTCCCCACTCACATTGTCTCTCTCTCTCTCTCTCTCTCAAAAATAAACAGTTTTTTTAAAATATGAAATGAAATGAAATGAAATGAAATGAAGTGAAGTGAAATGAAATAAAATAAAATAAAATAAAATAAAATAAAATAAAATAAAAGGTAGGAGAGAGAGAAGGATTAATCCCATTAGAAGTAAAGCTGACACAGTTGATGAACAGTACTGATTATTATCACAGTCTCCTCTTCTGGGAGTGAAATATTTCTTTAATTCTCCTTCCTGAAAACAAAATACACTTATTCAGTCCCTTTCCAGTAATGATAATGGGAAAGTCCCCATGATGACATCAAGCTTAAAGCCCAGGATCTCTGGGTGGTGCGTGGTAGCCTTTATATCAGAGAATAACAGCCTCTGCAACAGGTCCATGTGCAGCTCCTCTCGATCCAGGGACCGGCCCTGCCCTGTGGGGCGGAGCAGGATCGGGATGACGTTAATAAATACTCATATAAAAATAGGAAATGGGAAGCACAAGGCAGTCACTGGCCTATTACAATTCTGATACTAGACTGAGCAGAAGTTTCAGGCCTCCGACCCCAAAGGAGAGGAATCTTCCCTGAATAGGCTTCATGCAGGTTTCCTAGGAGGGGCTCCCCTGTCTATTCAACTCCATGGTACTTGGATTTTCCCTTTGGGAGGCTCCTCCTTTTCCACTGCCCTTCTGGGCCTTGTCTCAAGTAGGCAATGAAGAATACATCTGCCTTAGAGATTGAGCAGTTTTCTCAGCACACTTCTCATCCATCGAAGGTAGGGAAACTAGGGTTATTTTAAGTGTCAAACAGCCACAGTGGCATTTAATTCAGGCTGGCGCCTCTTTTAGCAGTAAAACCACCTTCCAAACTTCAACGTGTTTGACTTCTTACTTACTCCCATGTTTCCTTTCTAGACGTATGCCTTTGTCACATTTCTGTGTTCTCCTGCCCCGATGCCTGTCTCCCTCTCTGTCTTCCTGTCTGACTCTATCCCTCTTTCTCTCTTTTCTCTCCCACCCTCCTTCCCTTCCCTTCCCTTCCCTTCCCTTCCTTTCCCTTCCCTTCCCTTCCCTTCCCTGTAGGTTCCTTGAGCCTAGTAGTGAGAACACCTTTCCCCCTGAACCATTTCATGTTATTTTGAATCATTTGGTCCACTTGAAAGGAATTTCAAGCCAGAACACCCTAACCCATGCTCGGTGAATTGATCTTGGCCACAAAGCTGAGTTTTAATAGTTCTTTGTGGCTCAAAGTATCAATTTTATCCTTTAATGTTTGGGTTGAGAAGCAGTTAGTTTGAATCCCTGAATTTGTCGACTCTCTAGTCTCTCCTTTTTATCCTTACAAATGGACCAAAACCTCTCTCTCTCTCTCTCTCTCATATTTTGTCAAATGCAGTTGAAAGCAGCCAGTTAAATGGGAATAATCTCTTCCCTAAAGTTAGGTAAATTAGGTAATACCTTCGAATATACTTCAGTCAACACTTTTGCCAAATGTTTCACCACCAAAAAGCCATCCCTCTAGTCTTCAGCAATGGTTTCTTTGATTCTCTCTGACCAGCTGTTAAGTCAATGCCACATTTTTTAGGCCTTATTTTATTTTTAAAGCAGCACCTAAAGCTCTTAGTTTCTAAGTTCTATGTCATTTTGGAATAAGATAGATAATCCTGTGGTAACAAATCCCCCCCAAATATCAATAGCTTAAATAAAAGGTTTATTTTCACCCATGTCTCATATCCATTGGAGGAGACGTCAAAGGGCTCTGTTCACAGTGGTCACTCAGGGACACACATAGTCTGCATCTCAACATCTGCTTCTATAATCACAGATTCAGTTGGAAGAGAGGGCGCCCCTTAAAGCTGGAAATATGTCATAAGCAGCTCTAAGAGGAATTCTATAGCTCTGAATTCAGATGCAGGGAACAGAACCCATTGTACCTAACTTAAGGAGGAAGAGATACATTCAAGGAGTCAATGGCTCATGAACAGTAGGGAGGACTAAAGAAGTAGACTCGACATTGAACTTTCAGAAAACTCCCCCAAAATCACACCCCAGAACCAGGTCATCAAAGGATCTGTGCTCTTTCTGCAGTCGGGACCCCACTAGTGTCAAGCCTCCATGATAATAAAAATACTTTCTCAGTCAGGAAGCCACTATCGTTCCCCATTCCAGACCACACCACACCTGCTACAGTCTATGTGTACAGAGTGGATGCAGGGAGTCCTGCCCATCGAAACCCACAAAGCCGGTGCCTGAGATCTCTGCTGATATAGTTGCAGGAAAACAGAAAGCAGCAGACACAGCAGACGTAGCCTAGTGTGGCCTCCTCCTAATCTCCACTTGCCAAATTTCATGCTACTGCATCTAATTGGCCAAATCCAAATCACCCCCAAAACCCGAGCTGCAGTGGGCTCTGGGATATGCTTTTTGGAGTCTAGCATCTACAGCACAAGGAGGCCTTCTACAACAAAGATGGAGTTGAACAACAAGCCAAAATATCCTGGCATCAGGCCCTAGTTTAGGGCAGCACATTCTACAGCAACAACAACAAAATTGTTTGTAATGTTTATCTCTGCGTATTTTAAAGTAATTTTAGGAGGTTTACACTAAACATTCATAATCAGGCCCTTAGGGATTCAGGGAAAGTTAAAATTTTTCTGTGTTCTCTTGTATAATCTATGGGGGGTTATAATATACTTTCTTCAAACAAAATATGTTAAGTAATATGCTGCAGGCATACATGCATTCTCATAGTTCACTGTCTCCGATTTTCACACCAATTCTATGAGGTAGTGGATCAGTCAGGGATTATATTCAGCTGCATGTCACAGGCACCCACCTACAGCGGCTGGAACAAGGATGGTGTTTATCTTCCACGCATTAAAAAGTAGTAGAGGGGTACAATCCAGGGCCCGTTCAGAACCCCGGATACCCGTCTTTCTCTTTCATCCTTGACTTGTGGCTCTCATTCCCTTGGACATAAGACAGATGTTCTACTTCTGGACATTATTACCAACTTCCAGGATGGAAGAAAGGGGAGAACAAAGGCAGAAGGTAGCCGTGGGGCTGGGTCTGCCTCTGTCCCTGTTATAGGTGGTGTTTACAGCAGTACCTTGCGACTTTGGCACACATCTCATTCACCGAAACAGTGTCGTGTAACAACCTCTCTCTGCTGGGGAACTGGAGAACTAAAGGTTTTGTTTTGTTTTGGCCGGACCCATTGTTAAAATCAGAATTCTGTCAGTAAGACAGAAGACTGGTGTGAATACTGGGTCAGTAACTAGCAGTGTCCGCCTTGGATAAACATTATCATCATTTTACAACAACAACAACAACAACAGCAGCAACAACAAAACAGAGTTCAAAGAGGTTACATAATTTAATTGCAGCTCAATGACTTGGGATTTTGAGTTCAAGCCTTATGACTCCAAAAATCAGGATTTGGGGATAAGCATTTATGTTAAAAAAAATAGTTAAAACTTCAGAAAAAATCTGACATATATATAAAGAGGTAAAATGGATTATTCAGAAAAAAAATTTTTAAATTTGTTAAAGGGTCCAAAGAGCAGAAGTAGGAATAAGAAAGGGGGAAAGGATGAGATTTTCTGTGAGAATAACACAATTCCATGCTTTAAAGCCAACAACAAAAAGCAGCAACGACTCTGTGTTTAAAAGCAGCCTTAAAGGCTATGCCACGTTTCAGGCTAGTTTTCCACTGCTGGGTAAAAATGTAATGCCTTGAGAATTACGATAGTCATTAACCAAGCTAACCTGAAAAAGCATCTCCAATTGCCATATGGTGTCTTCCAGAATGAATCTCATTTCTCTAAGTCTGGATTTTGTTTATTTGTTTTCACTGAGAAAAGCAAATGGTCTGATCTGCCCTGAAAGGCAGGACCACCATGAATAGTGACAGGAACCGGGCTGTTGGATGTTTCTTGCAAGACGCCAAGGATTCTGAGGTTTAAGGAAATGCAGAAGACATTGGACACGGGTAGCCAAGCTCGCCAGCTTAGAAGGCAGGGTGTGGTCCTGATTGAGAGTGTACGGGCAATGGCAGTAGTCGGTCCTGATTGAGAGTGTACGGGCAATGGCAGGAGTCCACAAGAACGTGTAACTCCATCTGGGAGATCTGCGACAACCCCTAACTAGTCTCTGACACTTTGCAGCTTGTGGCTTTTCCCCAAAGGGGGAGAGATGTATCTTTTCTTTTCTGTGTCCTCACCATGAAGCTTCAGGAATCCCTTCCCTTAACTTTCACCTTCTTCAACATGGCTGGATCTTGGCACCAGACATGCTATGAATCTGGCAGAAAGGGATGGCTGAACAAACGTAGCCCAATCCCTGGTTCTAGCTACTGAGCATGGCTAATTCATCCCCAAATAGTCATCTGGGAGCTACAAAGAGCAAATTAATTACACTCTGATAAGTTTAAGTGGCAGCAACAAGAAGAAGGAGAGGTAGATAACAGAGATTGAAGGACTGGTGGTGGGAAAACTGTGTAGAACACACATAGGGTAAAGAATGTGCACACAGATTAAATTTGATTGAAGGCTGGGAAAAACAAGTTGGTTCCTGTTGGAAGATCACAGAATGCCCTGGCCCCCTCACTGTTAATGCAATTACAAGGTGTGCTTGTACAAGCACTGAAATAACAAAACACTGAAAGGGTGTGGTTCATGGAGCTTTAGGCAGGTTAGGTTCCCTTTGAGGATGTGGGGCCAGGGAATTTAATCTTGTCAGAGGCTCAAGGAGCCGCCTAGAGCACTGCCTGGGAAGACAGGAGGCGGCACTGTTTTAGGGACCTCAGGGTATATATAGTTTTCAATGACCCTTCAGGACCCTTGCAAGTCAAGGAAAGGAGGAGTCAGCATGGAGTGCCAGGCAAAGCTGGAACTGAGGAGAGATGAAGCACAAGCGCAAGGTGAGGCCCAGGGTAGGGAAATTTCACCCACAGAATTGTGCTCCTTCTCTGGAAGCATGTTAAGGAGGCAGTAACCTTTTACATCATTCGAATCTAAGTACTGGCAGTCAACAAACAGATGTTGAGAACTAAGGTCGAGTCTAAAACTCCCAAATTCTAGTATAAGAATCATAAGCGAAACTTGCTTGAAGTGCAGATTTCCCGGTCCAGTTGTGAAAAATTCTGATCCAATAAGTTGGGGCCTGGGTCTGGGAACCTGCATTATCATCAGGCAGCTCCTGGGATTTGGGATTCGTGGCTCTTAGACTGTCCTGGCTACTTTGTAAAATTAAACACAGTCTCTTTCAAAGTTAGCATCCAATCAAACTAGATTTGACTGATAAAAATACAAACAAAATCCAGTATTCCTTTGCTATCTCTGTCAGTTGTTTTCAATGTTGTTTTGTTATACTCCTGAATTCATTCACTTCTGGAATTCTTTGGCTGATTTCCTGAAGAACAATAATTTATTCCAGAATTAGAGTTATCAGAAGCAACAATATATAGAGTCTAGATATTAATTCTCCAGCAATTTGCCATTAATTACAGCAAAACCCTGCCTGTGCCTGCCTGAAAGAGGGAAGAAGTGACAGATCAAAAGGGAGGCAATCCTTTCCCTTTAAAATTTCCTTTCAAGATCTGAAGATTAAGCACTTTTCTTCCAGAGGAAGAAAATTCTGGAACCCCAAAGATCCATAAGATTCATTAACGCTGTGAAGCAGCTTTAAAGTTTTTTCACCAACACCCATCCTAAAAATACATTTCAGGTCACAACCTAAAACACACACACAAACACACACATGCACACAACTATATATGTACATGTGTGGTGTGTATGTTTATGTGGGAATGTATGAAAAATGGAAGCATTTCATAAAACACTACTTACCTTTACCATGTGAAACACTCTGATATTTTCCATACTCTGCCCTTTCTCTTCTTTTCCCCCTCTCCTTCTTTCTCTTTCTTAATGATAGTCATGATACCACCAATGGCTTTGTCCTGCTGTTTGAAAAATGTTGAAGTAGGTTTAGGATTCCAACTGTTTTGAATAGGAAAGAAGCAGAGAGGAATTGGAATTGGAAAAGATGTTTGTTCACTAACTTTTCCTTCTTTCGTCCTTAGGCAGTAACCCCCTTCATTTATCCATTGTCTGTCTTCGCTAAAATAGTTTCATCTTCTAGAGAAGACTTTACTGGCTTAGAAGTCGATGTTTCAAAGCAAGGGAAACACTCAGCAGAATATACTGCCAAACAAATGGGTCTTTACTTCTTACCACATAGACTTTGCCTCCTCATTGTCTTACATGTGGCATGCCTCGTTTCTGCTCAGGTGTCTTTATCTCCTAATCTGGAATTCTAGCTACCCACTAAATCATTCTCTTTGCCTCCTCCTCTTTCCTCCAGAGGTCTGTGCTTATTTTCTCAGGCCTTGGAAGCTACTGAAAGTACAGGGAGAAGCCTCTATTCCCTAGTGTATTGCTCAAGCAGGTGCAATACACTTCAAAGGAAAGAGAATTGATGCTGTTATTCATTTCACAACTAATCTATTATTTTTGTCACTTATAAATGAACTAAGAGGCTCAAATGACCCAAGGCTCCCATGATCAACTTTCTTTATCCAACCAGCAAGTTTTGTTTTCATTGCAGCTATTTCATTATGTGCAGTAAAGCATCCACAATTTTGTTTGTTGTTGTTGATTGTTTAGCCTTGAAAAATATAAACTAAAGAAGCCAACTTTGCACCTACCATCACAGAGGGAAAAATTCACCCTAGACTACCTTTGGTGTGAAACTTTTACATCTCCATAAGGGAAAAAATTTCAGGGGCACCTGGGTGGCTCAGTCGGTTAAGCAGCGGACTTTGGCTCAGGTTATGATCTCATGGCTCGTGGGTTCAAGTCCCGCATCGGGCTCTGCACTGACAGCTCAGAGCTTGGAGCCTGCTTTGGATTCTGTGTGTGTCTCTCTCTGCCCTTTCCCCACTCATGCTGTGTTTCTCTCTGTCTCAAAAATAAATAAACATTAAAAAAAATTTCAACCTGGATTACAAGTGCTACTGAGCATCCTTCCACACATATCTCATTAAAAATGTCTTCACTGGCTTTTTTCTTAATCACCAAGCATTTTGCAAATTAACTCCCTTCCAAGAAAGCTCCATTATATCTTTTATGGTAAAATTATTAACCCCAAGTTTCATCCAATTCTCAAGCAAATAACTGGTTTTATTCGAATTATTTTTAGTATCTTGTGATCCACTGAATGCCTGAAAGCAAGAAATCTATCAGAGACAATTGGGAACATGTCAAAATGACCACTTTGAAAAACTTGGTGATATGAGTATAAAAAATAGTAATAATGGCATAGATTGAAGCATACCAAATACATAAAAATCCCATGAGCTCCTAAAAGTTTTCAAAAAGAAAGTCATTGACCACTTCTGGAGTTTGCTAGGATGCCAATTTGTTATTTTGAAAATTAAGAAAAAATCTAAGCATTAAAATTAATTACTTAATGACACTGTTTAATGCATATTTGCAGCCTCTACATGACCAAAGTGAATTTGGCCATGTTTGTGGTGTAAGACTTCAATACATTTTCCTATGATGAGAACCTTTGCCTTTTAATATGATTATGAAACTAAGCTTGCCTAATTTTGCTTTTTCTATAACTTCAAAAGAATGAAACTATTCATTATGGTCTTTTGTACCTGACGTCTTTCATGTAGCATTTTGTTTGTGGCATTTATTCGTGAAGGAATATTTTATTCCTTTTAATTGCTGAGTAATATTCTATTGGATATGGTTACTATGCTTTGCTTACCCATTCACTAATGCTTTTCCTGTATCTGCTGAAATGATCATATTGATTTTTTTTCCTTTATTCTATTATTATGTTGAATTACACTGATTGGTTTTCAGATGTTGAACCAACTTTGAATTCCTAGGATAAACCTCACTGGTCATGATGTCTTATCGTTTTAAATGTTGTTGGGTTTGATTTACTTAAATTTTGTTCAAGATTTGTATGTCTATATTTATAAGGGATATCAGTCTCTAACTCTTTTTCTTCTGAGGTCTTACACTACTTTTAGTATCAGGATGAAACTAATCACTTAAATAAATTCAGATGTGTTTCTGCAAAGCCTGTTTAATGCCTTGCAGAACTTGGAGAAACATTAAGTTATGTATATTTTAAATATACTTATTTAAGTATGTTTCAAATGTAAAATGATCTGTTGTGACCTTGTTCATTCTTTTTCTAATTTCCATAACAAATATATCCTATGGGACGTTGAGCCTAGTTTGAAGTTGGCTAAATTAAAATAAACATTTAAAAAAAATTTTTTTAAAGGTGCATCCGGGTGGCTCAGTCAGTTAAGCCTCCTGGGACTTCTGCTCAGGTCATGATCTCACCATTCATGTGTTCAAGCCCCCAGTAGGGCTCTGTGTTGACAGCTCAGAGCCTGGAGCCTCCTTCGGATTGTCTCCATCTTTCTGCCCCTCCCCCACTCACGCTCTGTCTCTCTGCCTTTGTCTCAGTCTCACAAATATAAACAAACATTAAACAATTTTTTGAAGTTAGCTGAATTAGTGAGTGATTTGTAATCACAGATTTTAAGATATTAAAGCTAAGTAATTTTAGAGATTACGGTAACTAGATATCTAGAACGGGAAACTGAGACCCTTAGAAATTGCCACACTCTTCCAGAACAGGGTATCTTTCCACTCTTACTGGTCTCCATTCCGTAACATTCATTACAAGCCTTTGTGGGTAGGAAACCTATAAAGCGCCTGCTGAGCATATACTTACCCTATAAAGTTAATGTGTCCATCCTTACTCTTTTTCCTGCCTCTAAAGGCCCACGCTGTTCCTAGTGACACAATCCAAAGAGGGAGCAGCAAAACAATGAAACTCCAGGACCCTGTGGCTTGGAGGTTACTAGTTGAACTGGGCATGCCCAGTCACCAGGCAGATTTTTTTCGATGAAGTGGAAACTACAACAGCGCTTACCGTGTGCGCGGAGGTGGGCGTGCCCTCGTGGAATTTAGAATGTTTCCGCAGCCAATGGGGCCTCGCGGCCGGCTGCCGGGGCTCCTCATTGGAGGAGAGAGGAGGCGAGCGAGTAGAGGGCCCCTGGAGGGAGCCGCGGAGGTGCAGGTCGGAGAGGCCGGGCTACGCCGTGCCCTGCGCGTGAGCAGCTGCAGGGGCAGCGGCAGCATCCGGCGGCGGTGTCTGCAGTTCCACCCCGTTGCTTTACTTTTTAGCTGCACGAACGTAGTCATTATGCCGAAGAGAAAGGTAAGTCCTACCCAAAAAGATTTCAAAGGCCTTCAAATTGTGCTTACAGCAGATCTTGTCATTGCAATGGATCGCGCGGAATGCGCTTGGTAGTAACTCGGTGTTTGCGAATCTTTTTTGCTCCTCCACGCTTGTTTTCAGATGCCTGTTGCAGACGTTCCTCCTTCCCTCCTTCCCTCCCTCCGTCCCCATGGATTTCTGAATGTTACTTTCTCTCCAGCGACGCGGCTCCTCTTCTTTTTTGAACTCCTACTAGCTGGAATGGTTTCCACCTCGAACAACAAGAAGCAAAAGCGCTTTCCATTCCCTCTTCCAGGAGGGGAGTTTCCTCTTTGAAACTGCCGGGTTGTGGAAAAGCAGTGATTGGGGGAAAACAAGTCCATGCATAGAGAGATCGAAAAAAATAAATCAGTCGGGCAGATGTTGGGGTTATTCCCAGGTGGGCCTAGCCCACGGCTGGGCGCGCCGCGTTGGGTCTGAGGCCAAGAGAGAGGGAAAGCCATGTTTAAAATAGCACTCACCCCCCTGCTCGCCTCCGCTGCAGACCCGTATGTACCAACTCCAGTGTCAATCAGGGCTGGGGACGGCGCAGGCGGGGCCGGGCTGCCGGGACCTGCCCGCAGTTCGCGGCGGGAGCGGCGGAGTTAGCCGCGCGCCGGACGGGACGGCGCCAGCGGCGCCCACTCTGGCTGCCCCGGGCGGGGGCCGCCGGGCCCACTCTCATGGCCCAAGCCCACCCTCAGCTGGGAAAGGCGGGGTGCGCGATCTCCTGTGTCCCTCGGCGGTCACCGGGAACTGGGATCATTTTCGTCTCAGCTTCGGTTCCCTTTGGACTATAACGTCCCCTTCCGCGCGGGTCCCGAACACCAAGTATCGCACACCGCGACGCACGTTTGCGTCGGTGCCCGGCTGGGACCCCGTCCTTGCCCCCGGGAGGGTAGCGGAGACTTGCCCCCACCCCGAGAAAGCGGGTGTGTGGCGGCTGTTCCTGAGAAAATGCTTTGCACCCTCCCACCGCCTGCCAGCAGTGTGAGCCAGTGAGTGTATGACATTTGAGGCAAGATTACAAGTAATATTCTGCTTTGTCAATTAAACACTGGACTGATTGGTGTAAGTGAATGCGTTATTTTACAATATCGAAGTGTTAAAAATACAGAAGGTTTTGCTTTCTTATCTACCATTATTAAGAATTTGGTGGAAACTTGTCTCCTCCACTTTTTAGCAAATATAACAAAAGTGGGGTTTTTTCCTTAGAGTTTATCGTGCACATACTATGTGCTTCATATTGTGGGAAGAATTTGACTTGCATTATTTCATTTACTCCTCAGTACACCCCCATCGAACTGAGGCTTAGAGACATGAGCTACCCCACATTTCATCAACCAGTAACTAGTAACAAAGGCTTAATTAGATACTGTAGGTTCAGAGTCCTTACTTTCAAACATTATTCACCTATTCTTTTCATTTAGTGGTGGGTCAAGAGGAATTTAGGAAATGCAGAGATTCCCAGCCCAGAAAATGGATAGCATGTTAAGAGTACTAGTACTTGAGATTCATTATTTAAATTTAATGTTTATGAAAGTATTGTTTTTCTAGCTTTATTTTACTAGAACTAGGATATTTAAGATGATGCCACCATTTTCAGCATTTTATCTGAGGTGTAATGACAGCGCTGGGAGTTTAGTAGAGTCAGATTGTTACAGAGTGAATTGGTGCCATCCCCTTCCCTGAGAATTACTAACAAATTTAAATGAACCATAATTTAGATATGACAAACCCATTATTATAAGGCCCCTGATGTGCTGGAGTCCTTGTTGTTGAAGAGCCAGAATTGGTAAAATCATTACTCTTACCTTCCCTTACTGTCCACCTCTCTTAAGGAAACAGAAGGGAAGAAAAGAAGAACAGAAACTGTCTTTTGGTTATTGTTTTATTTCCCTGGAAGGCAGGGAGCCCCCCCTCCCCCCTCCAAGAAGAAGCCAGCCAGCCATTCTGGGACTAGAGGCAGACCTGTGTACAAGTACCTGAATGTCATCCCTCAGGACATCAGAGTATTCTTCACAGATGGAAAACCTGTCCTTGATTAATAAGAAGGCTCTTCATTTGTACCTGGAGCCAAAAGTTGATACCTGAAAAGAAGCAGCCACAAATTAAACATAGCTAACATGGCCATCCCATCTATCAGTCAAACCTTAGAGCTACCTCATAGAATCCGGGAGTTTGCTTTAGCTTATATTGGAAACCACTCTCTTTAGGTAAAGCCTGCCTGGATGCAAAGAGAAGAACTGAAAACAATCTGTGCCTATCTCTTTGAGATATGTAAAGCTGGGGCAACTGCTAAAGCATTTACATACTACTACACATTATTTTTCTTGACTAAAGGGACTGCCTGTTGTACATTATACTACGTTTTAAGAAAGTGCCCCACAATTTTTTTTTTTTTGCCATGTTGGCACCCCCCTTTTTTTTTTTTTAACTTTTCCCAAAAATCAAGAAAAGTTATTTAATGAACACCTGTTTAGGCTGTTCTGTAGAGTAGGATCTGGAATCCTAGTACTGATGTCGTAGGGATATATAGTTTGCTTTCATGGAGCTTATATTTAATTCATTGAAGGTGATGAGAGTAGCAGGTACAGAACACTCGACTAACGTTAAGATTGTATATACGTGGGGCACCTGAGTGGCTCATTCAGTTGAGTGTCCAGCTTCGGCTCAGGTCATGATCTCACGGTTCGTGGGTTCGAGCCCCACGTCAGGCTCTCTGCTGACAGCTCAGAGCCTGGAGCTGCTTCAGATTCTGTATCTCCCTCTCTCTCTGACCCTCCCATGCCCTCCCATTCTGTCTCTCAAAAATAAATAAACATTAAAAAAAAATTTTTTTTAAAAGACTGTATATATGTGCCAGAATATATAGTATAGGTACAGATTTTAAAAGCTGTAGGACTGACAGGAAAAGAAGGTTCAATTTGGGCTGGTCTGGTACGTGTGGGTAGGACTCAAATATATACAGAGCAAAACAGAGTCATTTTCTGTTATCTGGCATTTCAGTGCCTCTTCTGATTGTATCTCAACCAGGCCTCAGCTATACAACTTGAAAGCCATAATATCCATATTAATATAAAATGTTCTTTTATTTCTTAATCCTATCTTTGTTTTATCTCTCTGTGTGTGATAATTATAGCTATATTAAACCAAGTAGTTTTTTTATAACTGCTGTAGAATTTTTTAAAGCACTCAACAATAAGTTCTTTAGTTAGCGTTAAATCTCTTTCTGAGTTTGTAAAATATGAATAAAGTTGAGTTTCCTATATTTATTACCTAATGGGTGATGGGTCACCCACCACCTATTAATAGTGAGTGGCATAGCAGGGAAAATGATAATATGCATGAATGCAGTGGTGGTGAGATAATGAGTGACTGAGTTCTAGAGTGTTCTGGTCAGACATCTATGAATGCCTACTGCGGTCACGTTGTTATGTGATGATATGATGTTCTACAAAGAGGCATCAGAGCCAGTGAGGCCTAGAGTCATAGCCTGGCATGATTAACAACAGCAAACACATTTTCAAATCCTTATTTTTCAAGTATCTCATCACTAGAACTATTGGAAATATCTAGTGTATCACATCAGAAGTTCTCTAATGAGGCAGTTGTCCATGAATTTGGGGTGTAAACATTAGTGTTTCTTTACACACTTAAAGGCTTAAGGAAGAAAAGGCTGTCTGCCTCTAGCTTTGAAATTTGAAATTAGGTTTTATTGCTTTTCTTAAACTGGCAAGGCCCAATAGGGCTGGGCTTGGCACAGAGGATGCTTATTCATCCAATATTCAAGGTTTCTGATTAATGTTTCAAAAGAATATCACATGTCAAAACAGCAGGGACAGACTCTAGAAATGAAAATACAGATGAATGTGACTATATGAAAATGAATATTTCAGTATGATGAAAAGAAAAACCTATTGTTAACAAAATCTAGAAACTTAAGAAAAACTGGGAAAAAATATTTGTACCATATGTTACTGAAAAAAGTTTGCTAGTTTAAAAATATAAGAGTCTTATGTGTCCTTATGGAAAAGATGTATATCCTTATCAAAAACTAGCAGACCCAAATAGATGAAATGTTTAGATTTGCTAGAAATCAAAGAAATGTATATTATCAAGAATAAGGAGATGTGATTTTTTAAAAAAATAAACAGTCTGGTAAAAAAGATTGGAAGTATCACTGCTAACAGCAGTCAAGCAGTGTGGATGGGAATGTAATTTCCTTTAAAAAAAAAAAAAAGGCTTTATTTGAGGTATGATCTACTCCCCATAATGTCCATTCATCTATGCAAATCATTAATTTTATATACATTTATAGAGTTGTGTAACATTACCATAATTCGGTTTTGAACCATTTCCATCACTGGAGAGAGGTTTCTCAAGTTGTTTAGAGCCAGTCTTTGCTCCCACCCCAGTCCCACCATGAATCTACTGAGATTTGCCTTTTCTGGAAATTTTATATAAAAAGAATGCAACAATATGGAGTCTTTTGTGTCTGGTTTCTTTCAGCATAATGTCGCTGAATTCCATATGCATTGTAGCATGAATCAGTACTTCATTTTTTTCTGTTGCCCAGTGATCTTCCATTGTTCATCCTTTCACAAATGGATGGACATTTGAGTTGTTCCAGTTTTTAGTGCTTATGAATAACGCTGCTGTGAATATTTATATGTAAGTCTTTCATGGGCACATTTTCACTTCTCTTGGGAAGTTTCCTAACTGTAGAACTGGTGGGTGGAATGAAAGTCTGTTTTTAACGTTTTAGGTAACTTCCAAACTGTCTTCCAAAGTGATTGTACATACCATCAATGGATGAGGGTTCCAGTGTCCCAGCATCCTTGGTATCGTCAGTTTTAGTTTAGTTTTTTTTGTTTTTTGTTTTTTTTAGGTTTTAATTTATTTTTAAGAGAGTACAAGTCGGGGAGGGGCAGAGAGAGAAGGGGACAGGATCTGAAGCA